AAGGGAATGAGGGAAGGGGAGGGTTAAGGGGGAAGGAAAGTAGGAAGGGGGAAGGGAAGAATGAAAGAAGGAAAGAAGGAGCCCAGACAATTGTCTTGTTCCTTGGTGGCACTGGGGAATGAACTCAGGATCTCACACTTGCTAGGCAGCACTCCATCACTTCAGCTATACCTCCATCCCTTTACTTTTTCAAGAAGATTCTGCCTGCACTTACCATGGACTATGATTCTCCAAATCTCCTCTCTGGAGTAGCTGGAAATATGGATGTGAGTCACTGTGCCTCAACAGGCCCAGGACTCTTTAAGGTCCTCACACTGAAAGTTATAAAAGTCCTGAGTACCTTGTGAAGTCTCACCTATAGGCTATGGGATAGGATAAGGAAGCACTTTGGCCAAGTTCCCAACCCACATGCACTCACCATATAGGATAAAAGGAAAACAACACAGATTAACTGCCAATCCTAGGCAAAAGCTGAGAAGAGACTGAAACCTCAGAGGAAAGAAGAATGAATTGTATTTGTTCATAGCTGTACCTCTAAGATCTACCACAGATACTGGTATCTACAAGAGACAAAAATGCATGAGCCATGGGATGGTGGCGCCCAGGCCAAGTGGGAACTCTAAGGACGTAGAAAAAGGTGTCATGGTTTGAATATGTCAGTCCAAGCTTCTCATATGGGAATCCTGGTCTTTGTAGCCAAAGTGTGAAGAGGTTGTAGGGCCTATAAAAAGTAGAATCTAGTGAAAGGTCATTAGGATACTACACATAGAAGGAATTGATGTAATTCTCATGGGGTCCTGGTCAATTCTCAGAAGATTGTTACAAAAGTGTAAGCTGACCAATGGATCACTACCCAGTTTCCCCTCTCACAAGTGATCTCTCCTTCTCACCTGTACCAATGCAGATGTCCTTATGAAACAAGCAATCCACTTTGTAAGTTTCCCCTTAAACTCAGGCGTCTGAATATAAACCAGGAATTCAATTATTCATTCAACATCAGTACTCCTATGTCCTGAACCCTGCACATTTACTCAAAACCTTTATCATAAGCCAACTTTGGTTTGTCAATTGATCTAAGTTTTAGTTATTTTTGGTGGGCAATTTTAGATAGTATTTGTGTTTTTTGAGGCTTTCTCATTAGTTTGGAATGATCTATATTATTGATTTGAAATGAACATCAAAGAACCTAGTTCTCAAGTTAGCTGTCCATCAGAATCATGTGAGAAGTTTTGTTTTTGTCAGTCAAGGGGCTTGAACTCAGGGCCTAGGTGCTGTCCCTGAGCTCTTTTGCTCAAAGCTAGCACTCTACCACTATGAGCGTCACCTCCATTTCCATTTTTCTGGTGGTTAATTGGAGATAATCTCAGGGACTTTGCTGCCACAGCTCTGACTTTGAACCTCAATCATCAGAGCTCAGCCTCCTGCGTAGCTAGAATTACAGGTGTGAGCCACCAGTGCCCAGCTTATGTGGTAAGTTGTTGAAGTATCTTCAGCTGAGCCAATGTCTTTCCTCAGTCTGATTTAGTTGGCTTTGTGTGGAGCTCTGGCAGCACGTACCTTAAGTATTCCAGGTAATTCTAATGTATAATCAAGGTTGAACACCATCACTCTAATTTGAAGGGTTTTCAGGGTCAGCTCTGTTGCAACTCAAAGCAATGTCACCACCTGGAAACTTGCTCTATGTGCAAAAATCACAGACTGCACCTCAGACTACCAAATCAGAATCCTTATTTTAACAGGATTCCAGAAATCCTGGTAACATGCTAAAATCTGAAAAGCACTGAATTCTCACTAAAAATGTTTGGAACATTTGTTTAAAACATGAATATCTGGCTTCCTCTCAGAACTCTCTAGGAAAGGCCTGGAAATCAGAATTTTATGTTTTGTACAGTCATCCATACATGAGTTTGAGGCTTGTCAATCACAACTCTAGGCCAATGTATATATAGCTCTATGACAAAACTCTGTCTACCAAGCAACATTCCAATTATTTTTTGCAAGTAATAAATATGACAAGAAATGAAACTTTTATTTTTTCATCATGCATGCAAACTTACAACCATTTTTGATCTTTAGGAACACAGAAATTACCACATTTTTACAACAGTGTCAATTATCAAATATAGCCAGTTAGAAGGTCTTCACAAAACTCAGCAACAGTCACCAAATTATATTTCTTATGTACACAGTTAAGAGATCAGGTTAACAATTCTAACAGTCACAAAATTGTCACATAAGTCTCCATGTTACACCAGAAACACAACTGATACTGTGGTAAAAGGTCTCAAGTACCTAACACTGAAGTTTTACAACAAAATAATCTCTCCTTTTGTGGATGAGAAGTAGCTCATCTCATCTGAACCTCAAGAATTATGATAATTCGTTTCTAAGGTCTATTTCTGGAACATCATTAGTTAATGCCAAAAGCAAAATACAGGATTGATATAGTGTTAGCTCACAATTAACACCTCTAGAGTCCCAAACTCCCAAAGAAGACTGGTTGCACTGGCATAGTGTCTTGGACTTGGAACAAACACAGTACAGGAAGAAGGAGCGCTATAAACAAACTAAATGGATCTTAACTGGTGACTAACAATAATAGTTGATAAAACACAGGATCCAGTGACTACCTTCTCCGCTTCTGTGTTCCTGAAAATGGTATTAATAAAGAACAAAAATGTTAAGAAAAAAAAAAAAGCAGATTCATACAGCTCTATTTTTCCATTAAGCAACCATGGAGGAGGTGGCAAGACTTTACTCTGGAGGCAAAATATACATGTAAAATTAAATCTTTCACAGACACAAGGCTACATATAGAAAAAGAGAAAAATCATCCAGAAAAATAAAAATCCACTCCCCCAGGAAATAACCTGAAGACCTAGAACAGACTATTCCTGCCTATCTCCTCCATGCCCTAGGAGTACCTTAAGGGTCCCCTATCCTGGAGACTAAGTCCACTTCTGCAGACTAAAGCCTATTTTTCTTTCCTTTTTCTTTTGTGTGTATTGAGTATGCATGCACATACCAGTTCTAGAGCTTGAACTCAGGACCTGGGCACTGTCCCTGAGGTTTTGTTTTTGTTTTTTGTTTTGCTCAAGGCTAGTGCTCTACCACTTGAGCCACAGTGACATGTCCAGCTTTTGGGTGGTTAATTGGAGATAGAGTCTCAGAGTTTCCTACCAAGGCTGGCTTCAAAAGGTGACCCTCTTATCTCAGCATCTTGAGTAGCTAGGATTACAGGCCTGAGCCACACATGCCCAGCTAAAGCCTATTTCTGCAGGCATCTGAAAGTAGAAGTAAAGAGAGTAAAACATTGCTAAATAGGAATGCTGGGAGCTGGGGATCCAGATGATTGAGGCTACCACAAAGGAGAAAACAACAGAGGCCCTGGGGAGTCTTATAGAGCGTGCGCTCAAAAGTCAAAACAAAAAGAGATAATAATCTGAAACATTCTGCCATAGGCTAATTCTAACAAATGCAAAAGTATGAACAGGATTTTCAATTTCCTAACTGTTGAATGAATTCAGGAGTCTGGACCAAAGACTGACCATAGACTCACTTGGTCTTGTGGTTCCCTCTATTTTAGCCTAGCATGTGAGTATGCATAGCAAGTCCCTAGATGTCTCTTTAGCTATATAAAGAAAACCCTAGCTTTTTTCTTCTATTTCTGTCTGTACTATTGTATTAACAAAACAAAGACAAAGCCTGGTGCTGGTGGCTCACACCCATATCCTGGCTACTCAGAGGCTGAGATCTGAGTACCAAGGTTTGAAGTCAGCACAGGAAGGAAAGTCTGTGAGACTTATCTCCAATTAACCTCCAGAAAACCAGAAGTGGCACTGTGGATCAAAGTGGCAGAGCTCTAACCTTGAGTGAAGAACTCAGGGACAGCACCCAGGCCCATGACAAAAAAAGACAGAACAAAAAAAAAGAAGGAAACGTGAGGAGTGAGGTACAAAGAAGAAACGGAGTGACAAGAAAAAGAGAACAGAAGTGAGGCCAGAAGAAATGTGTCAGTGGTATGGAGACAAGAGATGAAGTCAAGGAGATAAAGGCCAACAGATGAGAAATACCTTTTCCCCAAAATCCTTGCGCCAGGACAATCTTCTTCTTAAAAAAAAAATCGACAAAAAAAAACCTAGTTGATAAAGGTGGGGCCCAGTCCCCACCCTCACCTGAACCACAGCAAGAGGATTTGTCCACAAGGAACTGCCTGCCCATCAGTCTTTGCACCAGGATTGCTGAAGTCTAGAGAAGACAGGCATGTGTCTCATGCACTGGCAAAGCATGTGAGTCCACAGGCAGTTCTCAAGAACTTGTTCACAGGCCAATTAGAGCCTAGACAAAAGTCAATGACCTGAGTGTCCACCAAGCATGGCCAGGCTTTGAAAGTTCACTCACATCATGTCCAGAGACAAGAAGAAACCTATGATTGTAAAGAACACAAAACAATGTTCTTGACCTCAGTCAATGTCCAGTACCTGGGTGGGACAGATGCAAGGTCAAAACTGGAGATAAAGTAGATGGCACCTGACTGGTGCCTCCAGAACCATAGAACAGTCAATGCCATGTGCACTGGCTTCATTTTGTAGTGCTGAAAGCATAGTTTGTTCTTCATGAGATGCACAGCCAGTATGAACATAAAGTCCAACAAGTCACTGGCTGTGAAGTAGCAGACTTTGAGGATGTTCTGGTCTTCCTTCAGGATGACTCATGAGGGTCCAGGCAAAGTAGACAAAGGCAGCAGACATCTGGAGTGCTAAGTGCTTAACAGGAGAACAGTAAGATGACATAACATGTGCTTTAAAAAAAAAAAAAAAGGTAAGCAATCCTTGGGAAGCAAAGGATGATTATAAATACCATATTCTTGTAACTAAAATCCAAAGGTGCTACAGTACACAGAGACCAACCTGAAGAAAAGGCAGACTGCCACACACACATACACAAGTAAGTCGGTTGGACACAGTCCGGTTGGAGGTAGTAGAGAGGCTTGTGGAGGATCACTTGGAAAGGTTTGTCCCAGACTTAGGGCTCTCCGTTGGCTGCTTTGCTGGACCTGGCCCATCCTCCTTTGCTTTCTTTCCTTGGGCCCTTTCACTCATAAGGTAGTACTGCAGAGGATTGGGCCACAGTTCCTCATTGATTATCTCGACAATCTTGTCAGACTCAATAGAGCTGTGACTTGAAAACCACCCAAAAAAGCTTCGGCTGTTTTCTGGATTTCCCTGGCTTAGGGGTTGTAGATCATGACCCGGGAGCCACTGGATTGGAGTAGAATGAGACACCACTTTACCGGAAGGACTACAACCATATTCTTTGATGAGCACCTTATTTTTGAAATAGGGGTTGCATCCAAAGTAGAACTTGATTTTGTAGCCCAACCTAGCGAGGCCAAGCTCTTCCACCTCCAAGCTATTCAAGTAGCTTAGTACTCCTTTATCTCGGTTGTTCAGAAAACATGAGAGCTGGGGGTGGTTCTGAAATGCCTGCCCCCAGAAGCCCGGAATATTCTGGATCAGGAGGTTCCTACGCTCCAGATATTGCAGTCGCAACCGCCCAAACTTGCGCGAAAGCCTAAGGTAGGCCCGGTCAGCCTGGGTGCTCACGGTCTCCAACTTCTGCTGGACCCTCTCCAGGGTGCTCATGCTATCTTTGACGCTGACTGGGGGCCGTGACGGAGGCTCTGCTGGGGGTCCTGCTGGGGGCCCAGATGGAGGCCTTGGTGCCAGACCATTCCTCTCCTCCCCTGCCAAGCCGGTGGTGCTGGGGGTGGTAGCAGTGGTCTGCCCTCTTCTGGGCTGAGACCCCCGCCGCCGCGCTGCGCCGCACGCCTCTGCGGCCTTCTTCTCAGCAGGGCCACGGCGACTTCCGCCGCGGGGGCCATGTTTCCGCCTGGCCACCGTTCCCACGGTTCCCACGAACACAGCGTCCATGGCCAGCCTCTGAGTGAGGGCCGAGGCCCCGAGGGGGCCGGGCCTGGGGGTGGCCAGCCCGCAGCCCCCCGTGGCTCGGGCCGGGGGCTGGCCGGAGGCCTCCGCCCCGAGCTGGGGGTCCCCACCGTCCCACCGCGCGCCCATCCGCACCTGTGCCGCGGTCGGAGCGTCCTCCGGCGGGCTCTGGTGCTGTGGAGGGTCCGCCTCGCGCGGGGCCTCGCCGCCAACCGTGCAGACGCGGCCTCGGGGGCGGCCTTTGCCACGGCTTTTGGCGCGGGAGGACTTGCGACCCCGGCTTCGACCGCTCATGATGGCGGCCAAGGGTAGGCGACACGGACGCCAAAGAACCACGCTCCGCTCGCTCGCTCCGACCTCGCCGCTGCTGGCGTCAGCTGCGTCAGCTGCGTCAGCAACCACCGTGGGCAGAGGGCGGGATTCACCCCGGCAACCGCCAAGAGGTCACGGTGCCCCCCCCCTGCGTGCGAGGGTGGGCTATGCCTGCTGATTGGCTCCCACCACGGCTGCGCACTGGTGCTCCCGCCCCCTCCAGCACCCTCTCCTCTCCTCCTCCCTTCCTTTCCCCCACCCCACCCCAGTTCCCTGTTTCTGACTAAAGTTTGTTCTGTGCCCCCGTCACACACACCCCTCGCGCTTTGACCTCGGCCAATGGACACGCATGCGCACCCGCAGGGCCTGGTGGCCTCAGTCCCTCTTACACCACCTCCAGACCCGCCTGGCTGCTGGCCTCCATCACCCATTTTCCGGCCGCGTTCGGTAGTGCGCTCCCGTGGCGGCTCGTGGGGAAGCCGCGCTTGGCCCTGGGCCTCGTCTCTAAGGAAAAAATTAAAACAAAAACCTTCAGGCGAAGCTGCCACTATCCCGTCATGAACGGCGCTGGCGGCCTCTGCTGGGTTGGCCCCAGGGGCCATGCGAGGCCTCGCGGCCCTTCAAGGCCTCCCGCGTGCCAGGCCCGCCCCGAACCCTCTCCGTGGGTGAGGCCGGTCATTCCCGCCTTCCCGATGGGAAAACTGCAGCGTGGGGATGCCGAGGACACCCAGGATGCAAGGCCAGGCCAAACCCAGGCCGCTGAGATGGGTAGCATTCGCTTCGAACTCACGAATGCCTGTGCATCCAGGCCTGCTCGGCTGGATCTTAAAAGGCCTCGGTGGAGGTCTCCCACCGCCCTCCCCAGCCCCACCCCTTCTCCCAGCTAGTTTACAGAGCTGAGCTGCCACTCAAAATAGAGGACCAAAAATGAAGGCCGAGACCACAGGAAGACACAGGCGGGGGCAGAGCGACCCAGAGCCGGGTTTCCTCACTCTTGTTCAGATTTACCACTTAAACTAGGTAATCACAGCGTAGAACTCACTCAAAACTCAGCCAAAGCAGCCACTATCCCTCTATAAACTGCCCACGTCTCAGCACCCCCCAACTCCATCCACCAATATGGTCAAGAGTTATAATCTAGCATTAGCATCTTTGTCATTTGATGTTACATTGGTGGCTAAACTGCTACAGGATTAACTATGGCTGGGCCAGGGCTAGCTTGTGTATTTATCCAATCTGACCAGAGCCTTTCCTCACCAAGTCAAAGATAAGCTCCTGGTGAAAGGAAACAAGTTTGAGACTAAACTCTTGATAATAACTAAATAAATAATAACTCCCTTGCTTTGGTCCTCCATTCCATAGAGCTTTTTCATTTAAAAGGCTATTCTCTGCAGATGAACATAATTATTGGTTTGCTTACTATGTATTAATATTCAACTTTATACAAGAATGTCACTCAGGTTCCCAATTAGATAGTGAAGTGTCTTTTTGCTTTTGCCTCCCAAAGCACCTAGCATGGGGCTTGCTCATGTTAGTAATTATAACCGAAGTCCACAGGAATTGGACTTTAATAGGGTGCTAGCTTCTTTAATCCTATAACTGCCCTGTGGGGCAAGTGCAAACATCTCCCACTGAAGAGGCGGTCCATGCTGCGTAACTTCCTCAAGCTCTCATAGCTAGTGAGTTATTTCCATGCTCCTGACTCTAGCGCCATGCTTGGCTCCAGAACTCCATGATACAAAACTATGGCTCAAGAGATCACTTGCTCTGGTACTTAAATTTCTCTTTTACTCTTCGATGGGTAAAAATATCTTTTAAATTTAAAATTGTATATATAGACATACGTATATATATGTATATATGTACATACTCATACATACATACACAGATATGAATGCATATGGAGGCATACATAATAACATATTTATTATTTGTTGTGGTCCATTATCTCTCAGGTATGTAATACATTTGGTATGGCAATATTTAGTAGTTTAGTAATATTTAGTAAGTTTAATTTCAACAGCTCCTGTTGGGAATACGACCTTCCGTGTGTGTGTGTGTGTGTGTGTGTGTGTGTACGCACACATGCCAGTACTGAGCCTTGAAGTGAAGCCTGGGCACAATCCCTTAGCTTTTGTGCTCAAGGCTGGTACTCTTTTACTTGAGCCACAGATCTATTTCTGGCATTTTAGTAGTTAATTGGAGATAAGAGTCTCATGCACACCGCATAGGCTGGCTTCAAACTCTGACCCCTAGAGCTCAGCCTCCCACATAGCTAGAATTACAGGTGTGAGCCACTGGCACTTGGACCACTGAGAGCTTTATAAAATAGCAGAAAGCTATTCAAGGAAGACCTTGTTAAATACAGTTATGACTGCAAAAATCAAAGAAATCCATCTATCTATGAGCATCTTACTACCATTGAGAGAGGAACTTCTAAAACAGAACTGAGTGTTTGCAAGCAAACCCTACCACTCACTGGCTATGGGTTAAATTTAGAACTTTAGATGTGCCCTAGACTTACTGAGGTTATTGCTTTCACTATGTAATTTAATATTTTATCATTACTTGAATTCTTCTCTTTTCGGGTTCTCTATGCTATGCAATTGTTTTATATCCAACCAAAGTGAAATGCCATGAGTAACAAATATCCAACTTGCTCTAGATGGAGTCTATATGTACCTTCACCCAGAATTACCCTAAAGCTATTTCTGGAGCAAACAATCCTCATTAAGAGGATGTGGAGCTGTGGCTCAAGTGGTAGAGCACCAGCCTTGAGTAAAAAAGCTAAAAAAAAAACTAAGGGACAGTGTCCAGTGTAAGGTCCGCTCCTGGATGGCTAGCAGACTCCACCCTCCTCGCAGCAAAGTCTCCGCCCAGTACCTGCGTTACCTAGGTAACTGGGACACCTGGAAGAGGTCACATCTGCATCTGCTGAGGTCACATCCGAATTTGATGTGGCCACACCTTTCCCCACCCATACCCTACATAAGGCCTAGCCCAGGCCCAGACGCCCTCTTCCTCTCTTGCTCTTGCTCTTCTTTTCTGCTCACTTGCTCTTGCTCTTGCTGCTCTTTTCTTGCTCTCTCTGTTCTATTCTAGCTCTCTCTCTGTTCTTTTCTTGCTCTCTCTCTTTCCCAGCCACGTGGAGTGCCAACCTTGCCTGGTCCCAGCAGGTCTACTGAATAAACCTACCCCTTACCTGAATACCACGTGCGTGCTGGTGCAGTTCTTAATCGAATACCTCTTTTTAAAAACCTAACATCCAGGTCCTTTTATCCTAACACAGAATGCAGCTCTGTGGGCCATGTCCTCTGGGCACCTGTCTTCTAAGCCAGTGAGCAGTATAAAGAGCTACTTGGGAAAAGCTGTCCAAAGTTGGTTGAGGCCCAGAACTGAAATAACTTCATCCAAGGCAATGATTTGCAGAATTCAAAGAAGAGCAGGCACATATATCCGATTGTCAGCCTCTGCAAACACTGTCTTCTTCCCTGAACCTGAAGACCTTGGAGTCAGGGAGTTCAACTTTGTCTTCTTGATACATTCCTCTGTGCCTCAGTTTCTCTATAATGTCAGAGCTGATTGCTCGGGTCAAGGTTTAAGAATAGGGCCACACAGGTGATTTTAGTCAGCTGAGAGGTATGTCCCATCTCAAGCTGGCTGTCGCCACTAAACCCCAACTGATTGTTGCCATGGAGAAACCAACATTTCTCTGTGAAGTTTCTCGCTTTTTATTTTTTAGCTTATTATTCATAGTATAAGTATTTAGTATTATTGCAATATCAAACTCTTCTGTTTGTAAGACAGCTGCTCCAAGACCATACTATATCCTTTTTCTGTGCCCAGGGCTAATCTTGAACCAAGGTCCTCTCCACCTATGCCTCTCCCCTAAGCAAGATTCCAGATAAGCACCACCATACCCAGCTTGTTTGTTGGGATGAAGATCTCACTAACTTTTTGTTGTCACTGACCTTGAACTGAAATCCTCCTGATCTCTGCCTCTCATGTAGCTGAAATAACAGGTGCAAGCTACTACACCTAGCCAAGTTTCTCTCTTCTTAAAAATAAGTTTAAAAAAATCTTTGTCATGAACAAATATCTAAGAATAATTTTAATTCCTCCCAAATACGAGAGATTTTTGGTCCTATAGCTACAGAAAAGCCTTTGAAAATAAGTAGTATAAAGCATTTGGAAATAGTGCTACTCTGTGTGGCATTGGTGTATCTGGGGGGAGTCTAGGAAAGAAAGGCAGTATATTTTTGTCAAGCAAGAATTCTGTCCTTTTCATTTGAAACTTCAAAGGTGACCATTATTTTTAATGGGTACGACTTTGTTGTACATGAGGCTCCGTGCCACCTCTTGGATAATACAGGCTCTACAGACATCTCTTGCCCTTCAACAGGAAGGCTGTTTAAGATGGACTCAGATGCACCTATGCTGCTTACTGCCCTCAGCAGCCACACCTACAAATCTTTACAGAGCTACTAACCCGCCCCTAACAAAGAAGGTAGCCTGAGTGAGTAACAACAGCTTATTTTCTTCCTCCTGAACATAATCAATATCTGTATAATTGATCAGGTGGACCATATGGCCTCTCTAATTCACAGATTAAGACAATTAGGACAGCTGCCAGGTGATTGCTCAAGTTGGCATCTTTCATAACTCAGGCAAGCAAACCTTGTCATTGTCTTCCTCACAGAAGCAAGCACCATCTGGTCTTGGGCATGATTCAGTCCTCAGGCACACATTATCTAGATAAAAATGGGTGTCACCAGATTTAGACAAAATATTGACTAAAAGTGAATTGGGTGGCAGTAAATATATAAGAGCTTCTACTGTAGAATCTGGATTGAAGCAAGAGAGTAGAAAAAGCTAACAGAATACGAAGTCTGCTGCTCAGACCAAGACTTTACAGGTGCTGTGACACCTTTCTCATGGCCATCTCTCAGGAAACCCCAAGACCAGGAATCTTGAGCCAAGTG